TAAATATAAGATTTAAAAATTACTCAAAATTAAACTTGTGTTAATTTTATAACGTTAATTAAAAAGTAAATATAAAAAAATAAGTGTTAAGAAATTAAAAAAAAAAAAAAAAAAAAAAAAAAAAAAAAAAAAAAAAAAAACTGTTTTCTAGTAAACGGGCCATAACTACTCACGTAAGATAATCTCATCAACCCTCCAACGTTAACATAGGCGCACCATCAAAACTTGCATCATGCTCCCTAAACAAAGAATAATGTGAGATGTCAAAAGCTTCCAAATGTCTCCCCAACTAGCTACACCACTAGCCTTAATACATCTTAATTTTAATTCGATATTATAGATCGAGTGGGTCAAGTCAATAAATTCTAATTGAATTTTCCCAAACTAATAAGCCATATATCTAACTACAATTAGATATATCTCTGCCAAATATTAAATACAACTTAAATTATAATTAGATATTGTAGACCAAGTCAAGTTAAGAAATTCCAACCAAACTTTCCAATTATAACCTATTGGCAAGTTCTAAGCTAGCTTCAGATAATTTCTAATAGTTTAGCATTCCTACCAATTCAAGTGAATTGCATTCACTAGTGCGATATAATTGCAGACTTTATAATAAACACCTAAAAGTTTTCACTAAGTTACTCCTTAATTAAAAAAAAAAAAAAAAAAAAAACTAAAAGAGTAAAAGTTAAAACGTATTGTAAACTTAATTGTGTAATTTACAGGATGTTACATATGAGCAAGCTTTATCTAATGCATATCATCGAGTAATGATTGTGAGTTTTCCTTATCACCAATATATATATATATATATATATATATATATATATATATTTTACTATCTTTATCAGTTTTTTTTAAATCATTAAATTTTAATTCATAACTTACTAAAAAATTAGTTCCGAACACTAACTCACTGATGAAAAAATCTATAAATTATTGTTTGCCAGAGTGTATTATCTAGTGCTGTAAAAATTAGCATAACGGCTGCCTAGGCGCTAGGCAACCCTAGGTCGAGGCGATTTCATCCCTAGGTGGCTTTTAGCCGTCTGGCTAACTAACTGACCAACTAGGTGCCCTATGCGCCGAGTTGGGCGCCCAACTTGGTTGAGTCGGTGCTCAACTCGGCCGAGTTGTTTTTTTTTTTTTTTGCCTGCTCGGTTGCTCCTCTTCTATATTTCTCCAACCATGTACTCAATTAACTATCTAATATATGTAATTGACTAGTTTGTGGGATTATAACAGTCTAATAACTCACAACCTTGGATGAAAAATGTGGAGACGATATACTCGAGTTACTCAACCGCCTAGGCGCGTGCTAGTCGCCGCTAGGCGCACCCCGGATGTTCGACTAGCGCTAGCGCCTTCTGCAATATTGGGGAAGCCAAATTCTGTATTGTGAAGCATGGTGGCATTTCTCAGGGTCACTGGAAATGGGTCAGCTGGATGCCCCCGCAGCGCGGGCTGGGTGAAATTAATTAAATACGGACAGGGCTATGAAATCCGATACGGGGATTGCTAGTGTAGGAGGTCTTATTTGTAATGAGTTAGGCAGATGGGTTAAGGGTTTTGCAGTCAAGATTGGGCTAATTGATAGCTTATCAACTGAACTGTGGGACCTAAGGTAGGGTCTATGACTCAGTTTGAGAGAAGGGTTCGATAAGGTTTGGATTGAAATGGACTTGGTAGCGGTGGTGGCCATTATGAACGGGGGGGTGTAACCGGGGAAAGATGGTTGGAGCCTTGATTAAAGATTGCGTCGACTTGGCGAATAAGTTCCAGAATTTCTGGATCACCCATATTGAGCAAGAAGGGAATAAATCCGCCGACGGGCTTGCGAACCATGGACAGTCCATTGATTAGGGGACTCTCAACCTGAATAATGCTCCGTTGGGATTAAATGATCTTCTTGAAGCTGATGCTCGTAGCACGCCCAATATAAGGATTAGATAGTGCTCTCGGTTGAAGGCATTAGATGTACCAAAAACACAAACGAAAAACAAAAACAAAAACAAAAACAAAAAACAAAAAACAAAAAACAAAAACAAAAATAAAAACAAAACAAAAAAAAAAAACAAAACAAAAAAAAAAACAAACAAACTTATAACATTTTTCAATCACCAATTTTGCCCTAGCATCCAAATTCAAGCACAACACTCAATACCAAAATCTTTATTAATAAATTATTATCTTGTCAAACGGTAGAATAATCGAATACGGAGTATAACATTTTTCAATCATCGATTTTAGTTATATCTACTGAGTCACTAATTGTCATGATTTATATCGTTCCAAATGCTTTGTGGAATCAGGATTTGAGGAGCCCATGGGATTAGAGATTTAGCCTTGGGGCAAGTATAAGAGTCAATGGCTCTGTTTGGCAAACCTAGCTAAAAAGCTATAAGCTAGGAGCTGAAAGTTGAAAAGGAACTGAAAGTTGAAAAGCTATAAGCTCGGAGCTGAAAACTGAAGAGTTGTTAAGCTAGCTGTTATGATTGAAAGTGTTTGGTAAAATTAGCTTTTTGATAAGCCGATAAATATAAAAAGACTAAAAAGGACATCTTCATAAAATTTAAATTAGTTTGTTTACATATTAAAATTTAACATTTTGTATTTTAAAAAATTAACATTTTGAAATAAAACTATTAGCATAATCATGATCTAGCATCTCATAATGAAGTAACAATATTTTTGCAAATCTCATAATAATAATAATAATAATAATAATAATAATAATAATAATAATAATAATAATAATAATAATAATAATAATAATTGCGGTGAAAGTTGCAGATAAATTAAGGAGAAGAGAAAAAATGTTTAATTGGGAAGGGTAAATTATGTCATTTCTTTAAATTAATAAGGATAAAGATGGAAAAAAAAAGTTAGGAAGCTAGGAGCTTATTTTGAAACGATACCTTAAGTAGCGTTCCAAAATAAGCTCTTATTTTAAGCTAGGAGCTTATTTTGGGAACATTACCAAACAGAGCTTATAGCTTATTAGTAGCTTAAAATAAGTTATAAGCTCCTAAATAAGCTTTGCCAAACAGAGCCAATACCTAAATCTTCATTGAACTAATAGTAGCGAAAAAAATCTAAGAAGAAATAATACTTTATTTTTCTCTTAAGGCTCTGTTTGGCAAACTTAGCTGAAAAGTTATAAGCTCGGAGCTGAAAACTGAAAAGGAGCTGAAAGCTGAAAAGCTATAAGCTAGGAGCTGAAAGCTGAAGAGCTGTTAAGCTAGCTGTTATAATTGAAAGTGTTTGGTAAAATTAGCTTTTTGATAAGTTGATAAATGTAAAAAGACTAAAAAAGACATCTTCAGAAAATTTAAAGTAGATTGTTTACATATTAAAATTGAACATTTTGTCTTTAAAAAAAAAATTAACATTTTGAAATAAAACTATTAGCATAAAAATGATCTAGCATCCCCTAATGAAGTAGCAATATTGTTGCGAATCTCCTTCATCCCATAATAATAATAATAATAATAATAATAATAATAATAATAATAATAATAATAATAATAATAATAATAATAACAATAACAATAACAATAACAATAACAATAACAATAATAATAATAATAATAATAATAATAATAATAATAATAACAATAACAATAACAATAACAATAACAATAACAATAACAATAATAATAATAATAATAATAATAATAATAATATAATAATAATAATAACAATAACAATAACAATAACAATAATAATAATAATAATAATAATAATAATAATAATAATAATAATTATTATTATTATTATTATTATTATTATTATTATTATTATTATTATTATTATTATTATTATTGCGGTGAAAGTTGATAAAGGAGAAGAGAAAAGAATTTTAATTGGGAAGGGTAAAAGAAGTCATTTCTTTAAAATAATAAGGACAAAGATGAAAAAAAAAGTTAGGAAGCTAAGAGCTTATTTTGAAACGCTACCTAAAGTAGCGTTCGAAAATAAGCTCTTATTTTAAGCTAGGAGCTTATTTTAGGAACATTACCAAACAGAGCTTATAGCTTATTAGTAGCTTAAAATAAGCTATAAGCTCCTAAATAAGCTCTGCCAAACAGAGCCTAAATCTTATGAAAATGACACCGGATTAGTAATAAGGATTGAATTTGAAAGTGTACCAAATTTAAGGATAAAATGGGGAGTTTGGTAAATAGTTGTTAGTTGATTGGGTTAGTGGATTAGGTTTGATTAGTTTATAACATTAGTTCATTGGCCCTGTTTGGTAATTAACATAGTTAGTTTATCAGCTAATTTTGACTTATTTGATCACTATTAGCTGTTTGATTTGGTTAAAAGATTAATATAAGTGTTTGATTAATTAGCTTTTTGTAACAATTTATTGTTTCAAAACGCTAAAATTTAAAAAATTACTCAAAATAGCTTTCTCGATAAGCTTTTTGAGAAAGTCATTTTACATGCAATCAGCTATCAGCTAACAACTAATTTACCAAACATCTTTCTACAATCAGATAATATTATCAACTAGTCAAACTCACTAACCCAATCAGCTAACAGTTACTAGCTAACAACAATTTACTGAACACCCCCTAAAATTCAAAAAGCTGCTCAAAGCAGCTTTTTTGATCAACTTTTCAAAAAAGGTCATTTTGCATGTAATCAACTATTAACTATCAACTAATTTACCAAACATCTTTAATGTTTTGGAGCAATAAGTTGTTACAAAAAGTTAATTAATCAAACACTCATATTAATTATTTACAAAATCAAACAGTTAATAGTGATTAAACAAATTAAAATTGACGGACATGCTAACTATTTACCAAATAGGGCAAAAATGTGATTAAATTATAAATTAAGAATTAAATCCAAAATTGAGGACGAAATGAGGAATTTAGTCCAAGGAATAAGAGAATTGGTTCCTTATTTTATTCTTTATTTTATCTTTATGCAACCATTTCATCCCTAGTCATTAAATGGGCCCAAAGTATGTAAATAGTAATTTCCCTACTTGCTAAGCAAAGTCGCAAATTGGGATGCCCTCTCTCTCTCTCTCTCTCTCTCTCTCTCTCTCTCTCTCTCTACGCTATGAAGAAGCATAAGCTCTTCCATGGAGCTTGGAACCCAAAATCCTAGCATCACATTCTTTCACACACTGCTGTTACGATCAACTTCATCTCCCTAAAATACCACTCACCCACCATATAATTCTGGTACTTCGGGGCCTCCCTCTCTCTCTCTCTCTCTCTTTCTCTCTCATATTAACTATCATTTGGCAGCTTTCCATTTTGTATTTTTAGGAACTGGACCACTTTTTTTCACTCCTGACTATAGTGTGGGTTTTTCCCTGCATAACTGCCCTGTTTCCACTAAGGAAGCACGTATTTTGGCTGTCTACTTTTGCTTGTTTGGCGATTCTTGATTAAAATTTATTACTCCTAGTGAGTAGTCGCTCACATTTCTGCTGTCTCCATATCTCAATTGTGCTTTTCTTCACTGGGTTTTCAAGAAAATTGAGACTTTCTTTCAGATTCCCTCATAAATGTTCATGTTCTTGTGAGAATGGGCTGGGTTCTTTGTTAAAGTATGGAGTTGATCATTCAACACGGGTAGCGTTAAAAAAAAAAAAAAAAAAAAAAAAAAAAAAAAAAAAAAGTAGAAGGGGGAACTTGAGTGTTGGTTTTTGTGGGGTTGTGATTTAGAAGTTAGAACTCTATTGTTGATTAAAAAAAGATGGAGTCTTGGAGCTATGTTTCTGGGGAGAAGGGATTTGTTTCTGAGGAATCTATTTCTGTGGATGATAGAAGTAGAAATGGGTTTATGAGCTGGGAATTGAAGGCCCCATGTGGAATTGGAGGCACTATGGGGGACATTGAGACTCAAGGAATTGTGGGAATGGGTTCTCAAGATTTGATTACAAAATCTCTGGGTAATAATCACTCAATTTTTGCAGCTCCCCACAGTGCATTTTCTGGGGAGAATCACTCTAGTTCTAAGCTATCCACTTCAATTGTGATGGAGTCAAGTTCTAGAGATTCATCACTGATTGACTTGAAGCTTGGGGGTATTCCTGATCACAGAGCCACTCAGATTAACAAATCTCATAAACCGAACCACCCCGCTTTGTCCTCAGCTCAATCTTCCACTCCGGTTAAGAGAACTCGAGCTGGAGGGCAGAATTCCCAGCCCCCCTTCTGCCAGGTTCATGGCTGTAAGAAAGATCTTACCTCCTCCAAGGACTACCACAAGAGGCATAAAGTGTGTGAGGCTCACACTAAGACTTCTAAGGTTATCGTAAATGGTATCGAGCAACGGTTTTGTCAGCAATGTAGCAGGTCGGTTTCCAGTTTCCATTCCTGGTCTTTAGTTCTGTAAATTATATATATATGCACAGTTTTCTTGAAACAATTGAAGATGGAAAAGGATAAGTTTTTAATCTTTAGTCAAGGTCAAGCATTAACTTCTACCCAAATTTGGTGTAAACTTGAGCCATCAATCTGCTGTGTAAAGAATTGCTCTGATAGTGGGAGCATTTAGTTTTGACTATTCATTATAGCAGATTTTTGGTAATCTCCCCAATTGTACTACAACCAACCTACTACTATATAGCTAAGTTTGTGTGTGCTTCTGATATTTCAGATTCCATTTGTTGGCTGAATTCGATGATGGTAAGCGTAGTTGCCGTAGACGTTTAGCTGGCCATAACGAGCGTAGAAGAAAACCCCGCACGGGTCTTAACTCTGGCAGAACGGGGAGGCTTTTTCAGTCATATCCTGGTACAAAACGATCCGTTCTTCTTTGGTTTTCTGAAAATTTTCAAGGATGTTTCTGTTATTCGACTTCTGCATAATCTACAATTATAGGAATTGTTTGAAATATGAGACCGTGTTTAGGATAATTCTGTTCTTGGACTAACTACTATATGGCTTATTAGCTAAAATGTGAATTGGAGCACATGTTTCAATTTGGTATCAGAGTCAGACCAAAGGTCATGGGTTCGCTTGGAACCCACCGCACACGTGAGGGGGCGTGTTGAGCATATAACCATTAATGTGCAATCCAACTATCAGCTTAGGCTTTTAGTTGAGATGGAGCACATGCTTCAATTGACACATTGTTGCTATTATGAATTTGACAAACTTGTTAATGCCATTTTTCTGTGTTTTCATCATGCTTCGGTTTTATGGTCTTTGGTAAAAGATTAAAAGTAACTAAGAAATGCCATTTTTCTGTGTTTTCATCATACAAGCAGGTACGAGCTTTCCGGGGACAGCTTTCACAACGTCATCTTTTGTTTGCCAAGATATACTTCCTAGCAGCCTTCCCCGTCCACCAAAATACGAGATGAATGATTGGTATAGGAATGTAAAAGTCGAGGACGGGGTCGACTTTAGCCCTCCTCAGCTAGCGATTCCCTTAATCAACGCACACTCACAACCGAGATCTCTTTTCCCTTCATATAATCCGGAGAAACATTGTCCTCCTTTAGCAAGATGCAAAGTTAGCGAGAGTAGTAACAACTCGTATGCACACGATATGGACGTCCCAAATTTTGTTTCTCATTCTCTCTTCAACAGCAATAGTGAAGTGTTGAACGCTTTTGACTCGTCATCAACCATTCACGGGAATCACGGCCTCTCGGGGATGTCAAGTTCGGGCCATGCTCTCTCTCTTCTGTCATCTCACTCGCAAAGCTCTTCTAATCATTCATCCATGGTTCCCACACCCCACCACCTGATTAGCCCGGGCACTAATACTCTCTACAACATGGCACATGTGTCCAAGAAACATTTAGGGGCGAGCCCACCCGCCTCGACAAGTGGGCTGTCAAGCACGCTTAACTCGCCTGGAATAAATTCTTCGGACGAAGCACGCTTGGAACAGATGCTATTTTCCAACACTGGTCAGAACTTTGCTTTCAACAGGGTTGTCCAAGTACCGGAATATATGAACGAGAAGAACCAAATTTGCGGCGAAGATGGCCCCACTATCAATTTGCTTCAGTTGTCATCACGGCTTCAGCAGGTGCAGCATCAAAGGCATTCCATGCAAGCAAGGCAGGAAAGCGATGTTTTTTCTGGAAACAGAATCACATGATTGGTAAGCATATAACTCTCCTAAACATAAGTGTTTTCTTATCCGTTTACATTGCAATAACTAATAGCACCGTCTTCAAATACTGTATATACCCAATTGTTTTGATAACATTACTTGATGAACGAAACTAAGAAACAGAGATATTTAAGGATTGCCACAATATTGACATATTCCACAGTAGTATGGGATCACAGTTATTTGCAGATTTAAGATGATCTAGCCTTCAAACAAGTGCAACTAGTTGATATATGCTACTTCACGTGCGATTTGCTGGTCCACTAGTTAAAATGTTCTTACATATTCTTGGATATTTCAATAGAACTCTTTAATTTTGCAGAATTTAAGGATTAAAGCAGAAGTAAGCAATCCCTTCAAACGATATTACCAATTTACCATTGCATTTCATCTTGAAATGTATCACTTGCGGATAGGAAAATTCCCTTTTGTTACTTACAGCTGAAGTTTTACAGCTTCTTCCAACCCCCTCCCCAACTTTCTATAGAGAAACTTTTCCTCAAAGATATACTTATCTTCCCATACATCTTTCCTTGTAACGCTTATATCTAAAGAAAGCATTTATGGAAAGAGAGTTGGATTTTTGGAATTAATAAGGTGAAGTGATATCTAATATATTTCAGCTTGATGGCTGTAAATACTTCCTAACATCATTTGTTGGTCTGAGGCCGGTAAAGGGTCAAGTCTATCAATTGGTGGCTAGGGGATTGTTGGGATGAGGCCGGTAAAGGGTCAAGTCCATCAATTGGTGGCTAGGGGATTGTTGGGCGGAGGCTAGTGAAGGGCTAACTCCAGCACCTTGCCTCTCGAAAATGTTATGGCGGTATAAGGAAATAAAATTGCGACTTTCGCTACTAGATATAGCTTTTAACGTAGTGATTAGCACAAACTGTACAGTTAAGACTGGCAGGTGCTGGGAGGGGGAATTGGGTCAAGTCCAGGCTAGGAGATTGTTGGGCGGAGGCCAGTGAAGGGCCAAGTCCAGCACCCTGCCTCTCGAAAATGTGATGGCGGTATAAGGAAATAAAGTTACGCCTTCTGTACTAACTATAGCTTTTGGTGTAGTAGTAAGCGTTTGATCTTAACACCATTGCTTCCCGGAAACGTTTACGCAAATGTGTAGACGTCTTAATCCTCTTTTGCTCTATTTTGCTGTCTGCAGATCCAGGTTATGTGCTAAAAGCATGCATTTGCTCCGGCCTTTGCAGCGCTAACTGTGAAGGAAGAAGAAAGCAGGAGGAGCCTTGAATTGATGTTCATTTTTCTTTCCATTTTCGTGTGAAGCTGAAAACTGTTTTTCCCAGCTCTCTTCCTTAATAAGCACTTCCTTTTTTCCCTTATTGTTGACGCTGCAAAAGCTGCAATCTTGACTCTATTCCAATTGTATATCAATCCCTTCTATTTTTCTTGTTTGGTTCTTTCATTATCCCAATTCTCACATTCTTGTTCAAGATTTGTGTGAAAGTTGTGTTCGTTCATACCATAGTTAATAGTAGTGGTGAGCAGAATTTTCAAATAAACGACACAACCGATAACCACTAGAAATTTTTTTTGTTTTTTATAAGTCACGATTAGGTATATGTAACTCACACCCTGCAAGGCTGCAACTGTGTATGTAACTCACGCCTTGCAATTGTTAGGTCTCAATCTTACGTCATTGTTCATAATCTACCACATGAGTACCAACTAAGAAATTCAATTCAGATAGTGATATATTAGGAAGGGAAATTTAGAAAGGGTGTAAGATTACTCATTTTTTTCCTCTCTTAAAGTTTCCCATCCTAATTTTTTTTTTTGGTGTGACTTCTATTTATTGGGTGCCTATAAATTTGCTAGTATGATTTACTTGCAATCAAATACTAAATGATCCACTGGTATTTGATTGGCCCTTTATGTGGGATGTCTTAGGTTCGAGCCTCGGTGTAGGCGCATATAGTATATGGGTATTCCCTCCCTTTGTAATAAAACAAAAAATACTAAATGATCCAATCAAATAGTATCATGTAAGAAGAAATTGAGATGGAAATTTTAGGACGGGGTATGTAGCACTATTTAGATTATTTGATATTTGGTCAAAGTACCTATGAAGTTCATGTACTATAGTGTTTTGTTCAATTTAGTCCGTGTACCTTTATTCTGTTCAATTTAGTCCCTCTACTTTAAAAAATGGTAAAACTAAGACAATTGTCTAAATCTCATTACGAACATGGTCGTAATTATTTATTTTGGACATACTAATTTAATATATTGGTGGTAAAAATGATAGATTTTAAATATTTATAAAGTAATATATGAGTAGGAATATAAATATCATCAGTGCCACGTAACCTAAGTTAACGATAATATTAACATCGTTAACTATTGTCCTTAATTGCACTACTTTTGAAAGTACAGGGACTAAATTGAACAAAATAAAAATATATGAACTAAATTGAACAAAACGCTATAGTACAGGGACCTCGTAGGTACTTTAACCTTGATATTTCAGTTGTATATCAATTATGTTTAAATAGTACATGTGTTTCTCAAATGATTAGTGGTATTTTAGGAATAAAAACATAAATAATTTAGATACAATAATATTCTGAAATAAATATTTTAGGTCTGCAATTAGTTTTGCAGTAATCAAAATAGGTTCAATTTCAATATGTAATATTTTTTAAGCATATAATATAATAATATATAAAAATAAAATATATAGTTTAATTATCAACTTAAAATTTTAATTGAAACGAAACATATATTTCAATTTGGTACATCGATAAACATATTATGTCCACGTATTAAGTATATAATTTATTTATTAAATTAAGACACGTAACGAAAGTTTTACTTCCATCTATTTATCATTTTCCGTGTTACATGCAACATGATTTTGTCATCCTTCAATTCACTCATCGATAAATAAAATTACTAATAAAATCTAGCAAGTAAGTCGTTGTAGTATAGTGGTGAGTATTCCCGCCTGTCACGCGGGTGACCCGGTTTCGATCCCCGGCAACGGCGTATTTTTTGGCTTTTGATGAGAAATGTTTGGCTTTTGTTGCTTTCCACTACGTTTTCCTTTGGAAAAGATGAAAACTGAGGCGGCAGAATGAGAAATGATGGGCATGGGAAGAAATGGAAAATAGTGTACTCCCAATTTTTATTTTCCCACACAATTTTGATGTAGACACTTGTATTGAGATCCACATAAAAAAAAAAAAAATTTATCAATATCCGATACATTAATAAGTAAGATTTTGGAGTAAAATTTAAAGAGCAAGATTTAGAGTCCAACACGACTTTTGTGTTGCTTTCCACAACGTTTTCCTCCGGAAAAGATGAAAATTGAGGCTGCAGAATGAGAAATGATGGGCATGGGGAAGAAATGGAAAATACGATGCGTGCTCTCATTTTCAAATTTTAACTTTTATTTTCACACACAAAATCTTAATGTAGATACTTGTATTAGGACTCACATGCAAAAAGTATCTTATCAATGTTCGCCATATTAAAATTTAGGGGGAAAGATTTGAGAATAAAATTTAGGAATTAAGATGTATAACTTGAAAGAAATAGCAAAAGCAAAAGCAAATGCCAAAACCATCTAATCCAAATCAATCAGTGATTCGTTCTTCACAACACGGTGTGTACAGTTGGCATTTGTGAATGATTGTGCCAACTGGAGGGAGGGAAAGGGAAATTGCAAAAGAATAGTATAGTATACCACTAAATTATAAACCTTGTCTACACCACTACTATGTGTAGATCTAGTCAACTCAAAAATTAATGGTTTGGTGGAATCTTTAACTGCCATGACTTTGCCATTACCATTTACAACTAATGTGTGTGTCACCAAGCCCATACATCATTAAAAACAATTGCATGTTGAATGATTAAAAAATAAAACAAGTACTCCGTACAAAGGTATGCATGTTGATAGTGTAAATTGTTTCAGGTCGGGTAAATGTGTCGTGAATTCTATTATAGGTGAAATAATATAGTTGGGAAGTTAAATAAAGGTCCGACCACCTGAGGTAGGAAAGATTAATAGATATGATCGGTATGACTGGAAAATTAATTGAAGCCCGACCATGTGAGGTCGGGAGGCTCCGAGTGGAGTTGTTCAAGTTGGGAACCAAAAGTCCCCCCTCTAGGTGAAATAAATACCCTATATATAAAGGGAAGAGGTGACACATTCGGGTGCTCGGCATGTCTTCCAAGTATTCATAGAGTTTTGACATGTGGTGAGACGCTTGGAGACCGAGAGGTCTACTAACAATAGACTGGGAGGTCTACTAATTAATGAGACTAGGGGTCTATTAATAAATAAGACCAAGAGGTCTATTAGTATTTAGTACAAGAGACCGGGAAGTAAGTTGTACTCAGTAAGTACATTATGGTCGGGAAGTGCATTATAGTCAAGAAATGCACTATTGAGATCGGGAAATGCACTAGTGAGCTCCGTAGGCCAAGTGGGTTGCACCCTATCACTTATGACAACGGAAGATCGTCAGCAAAACAGAGTTGCAGAGTTTTGTACTAGAGAAGTGGCTCAATTGAGGTTCAGTACTTCTTGAAAGATGATTTCAGTTGGTCAAAGAGGTCGTGCTTTAAGAGAAGTTGATTATTCGTAATATATAATGAAATTTTTTTTTAATACATAGAAAAGGAAAATAATTAAACAGAAAATGATGGCGATTAAGTCACATCAACGTCCGCTAAAAGATGAAACCAAGTAAATGGATTATTATCAAACCTAGTAAGAGAGAGTTTGATCGGATCTCATGGAGTAGTTAGAACAGTTGACTTAGCTTGTATGTGATGATGACCAAGCCAAAGTCCAATGTCTAATTACATCTTGCAATTTGGCCAAGTGGTACTCACTTTTATTCATACATGACATGAAGAAAATATAATTATATTAACATACTTATCAAGTTGAAATACTCAGGATATGTTTGTTTCATTTAACTAGACACAAGAAATAAAAATGAAAATCATATACATTGTTCAGTTGACAACTTTTTAAGTACATGATTTGATTACTCCTATATTTTAAAAAAAAAAAGAAAAAAAAAACATTATCTAATTTAAATCAAGTATATCATTTCAACGCTTTCTCATCACTTCACTACATAAGATTAGTGCTTTCATATTCACATTATACTTTGGATGTCATCATATTAAGATTAATTGCTTCATTTTTTTATTATTATTTATTTTTTAAAACTTCAATTCCAATTATAGGGTTATACATAACCGAACAATAATATTAATAATCATTCCAATTCCAACCTGCTATAAAATATGTAAAATATTTTCACCAAACTCATTCTAATTACAAGTATTTGCCCATTCCAATTCCAATTCTAATTCTCATGATCAAACCAAACACACCCTCACTGTCTTGAAAATGTCTTTAAAAAGTGTGAAACTCAACAGAAATAAAGCAGTATCTTGGCTTGAAAACAATGTAAAACAGAAGAGAAGGGGAAAATAAAGCCATCAATTAGCCAGCAAAAACTGATAGATCATTCTATAAATAATGCTGAATGTAATTTAATCAGGTGCATAAATATCTCAAATAGTTCTAAACTCAATAGGGAAATATAAGACTGTAACCATCTCGCCGCAATGCAAGTAATCATAAACAGGCTGAAAACGATACTGTCTAGCCTATCGAAGCAGAGTCCTAGCTCTACTAACATAATCTGCTTTTACTTGGAAGGGCCATTGGGTTTCTTGGCAGCATCTTCAGATGGGTTCAGCTCGTCCCAAGCTTCGATCCAGGTCACCATTGCATCGGCCAGCTTGAGGAAGTACTCGTCAATCTTCCCGAGCTTGGCCTTGACTTGCTTGGAAATCTCGAGGTAACAGCTCTGGACAGTGGTGCATTCCTTTGGAAGAGTAACAGACTGGAAAAATGGGATCAGCTCCTCTTGCCAGTAGATACCCTTGTATTCTTTCTTGAGGTTCACGAAAGGATTGCTCGCTTTGCTGTGCCAGATGTAGGGCAGCCCGGTCTTGACACCCAATCCCATGTGGTCGCAGATTACCTACATAGAATGCAAGATTAAGGATACGTTAACGTCAAACGCTAACCACTACGCCAAAAGCCATAGCTAGTAACGAAGGCTGGAACTCGTAACCTAGCTCTGATACCACTTGTTAGGACGAAAATCTATAGCTAATAGCTGGATCCCGTAACCTAGCTCTGATACCACTTGTTAAGACGAAAATCTATAGCTAATAGCAAAAGCGCAACTTTATTTCCTTATACCACGACACATTTTCAAGAGCCAGGGTGCTGGACTTGGCCCTTTACAAGCTTCCGCCCAACAACCCCTTAGCCAAATGGCGTTTGACTTGGCCCTTACCAGTCTCCGCCCAACGAGAAGCACTCACAAAAACGACAACAATGAGG